CTAGAATTCACAAGGGAGGTTTGTCGACAAACCTTACTTGTGAATTCGGGCCATCATGATCATGATCAAAATAAATGCATGACGTACTCGTGGTAGTGGTGGTTTGGGAAGTCGTTGTGTCTGAGCGTTCCGATATCGTAGTCGTAGGGCTCATCGTAGGCTTGGTCGTCGCTTCCGTCGTTGACTGTATGATCACTGAAAATACCAAATAACAACAACAAATAAACATAACTGAGATAAATGACGATGCATAACATTATTTTCATTGAAATATCTCCCCGCCGGCTGTCTCCACGCGCTCTTAGTCAGGGTACGGGGATAAGATCAAGAGCGGGGGGGGGGGGGGGGGGGGGGGGGGGGGGAGCTGATAAAAATCGGAGAAATATTTTCCCCGTTGGACTCCCAATTCTAAGAAATAGCTCCGAAAGAGGGCAGTGATGTACTTTCTTTTTAATCATTATCATCCTCTTCTTCTTCAGTTGCAGTACCGGCAAACGTCATGTATTGTCGTACTGGTGAGGTGCAGTGCAGAATGTATGTACAATTTCTGATAAAAGATACAGCAAACTCTTTGCTCTTTGCTCATTCATTGGCCACTCATTAATTGCTCATTAATTGGCCCGATACTATATTATATTACACCTACTTTCATCGCAGTGTCTCCCTTGAAACCCACTTGAGCAGGTACAGTTGTAGCCTACCATAGTCTCTTCACACCAGCCGTTGTTACAGAGGTTTTCGTCACAATCTGCGAAATAAGTAATAAACAGGATAAAACTAATGTCATAAATTATAAGGCTTCCAAGTGGTACAATGATTCAGTGTATTTAATATCTTTAGCGTAGTGCCCGGATGAAAGATTAATATATGACAGAAAATAATAATAATATTGTATGGCTTTGTTTTCGTTTGATACAAGAATATATTGCTCTCGCCATTACATTATTGGACTCGTCCAATATTGTCATAGCGATAGCAATATATCGACGAATCCAATAATGTTATAAACTCGTCAGCCGTTCCACCGTTATCAAACGAATACCAACCAATGAAATTATCAACCATCAATTATTAATACTCAAATCACCCAGTAGCCTGAAATTAATTATCAATGAATTTACTATTAATGGATTACCAGTCAAGTCTTCTCGATCTTTTGAACATCTTTCTGATTAAACGATAGATGTTACTCTTCGATTGGAACGATTCATTTTCCTAATCTAAATAGTGGTGGTAGTAGTAGTAGTAGTAGCAGTAGTAGTAGTAGTAGTAGTAGTAGTAGTAGTGGGGGTAGAGGTAGTAACAGAAGTTGTTGTAGTAGTAGTAGTAGTAGTGGTACCAGCAGTAGTAGAAGAAGAAGAAGTTAGGAGTTGATATCAAACTTTAATGATATCAATGAAGTTCGTGTTATCTGCATGTAGATTTATTGATTAAACAAAGAAATGAATTTGACATATGAGAATAAAAATGAATACAAAATGAAACCTACACGGGATTCTGCATATTCTATGCCCGCCCGGGATCCCTTCTTTACTCTTCCTTTGGTGGCACCCGCCGATGACAGAAGGAAAAGGAATGAGTTTGGGGATGCTCTGCACCATGCTGCCATCCTGGAGTCGCTTCATCTCACACTTGTGGGACATGGGCAAAGTGTAATTTAGGCCGTACCAGTCTGAACAAGATGTCCTATCCGATAACACAGGCAAGGCTGTGAAGAATATATTAGAAAATTAATTGCTAGTTGTTTTCTTCTTCCTTCTACGCCTTTTCTCCCCTGTCTCACCTCCTTCTTAATGTCCTTCTCTACCTCCCCCTTTCTCCTCCATATCCTCCTCCTCCTACCAGTCCTGCTACTTCTCTCCACCCCCTCTTCGTTCTTCTCTTCCTCCCCATTCCTCCTCTCCTACTCATCCTCATACAGCCCTCCTCAAGCCTTATCATCATTCCTTTCCCTCCCCTTACCGCTCCTCCTCGTCCTTGCCTCACACCCTCTTCTCAATCTTGAGGATGCAGGTTTTTTAACATATATTTTGAAACATTTATTAGAGAGACTTTTTTCGGATGTGTTTTTTTGTTTGAGATGCCATGTTTATTAGATCAAGTTGAGGGCATAAATCCTTGTCAATGGTTGTGTAATAGTGTCTGCAAAATGTGACTATACAATTGGATGTGTATACTTCAGCTGCTTGTTTTGATACAGCCAGAAACAGGCAGATCTACGCTCTGCCCAAGGATTTATGAATTGTGATAAAGTGTCAAATCACAGTCTGTGCTTGCAGACTAACTTAGGTTTTTCACTTCGCTCTTATTTCGCTTTATTGTGGAAATTTTGAAGGCCAGCTATGTTTCTTCAATATTCAACAAAATATTACGGATATGTTAAGTAAAAAAAATACTTACCGAAGGACAAGCAGGTTACGGTACCAAGCAGCAACTTCCAAAATACACCTATCTTTGGGTCTTTAGCCTGTATTTAGAAAAAAATATTAATATTGTTTAAATCAGCAAGAACAAGAACAAACAACAACTGAAGAAATAACTGTGATGAGCATTTTGAAACGAATGATAATGGTAATACTGATAATGGTGATGATGATGATGATAATGAGAACAATTGCCGTAACTTATACATCACATATATGTTCCACTAACGTAATTGTTGAGACTTTCACATCTGTCAACGAGATTGTATAAAGGTTTTCTTGGCCAATTTCGGAATTTTCCAGCAATTTGGGTAAAACGTTCATTCAATTTACGATAAACACTATTTTTGGTGGAGACTGTCATTTACTTTAGGGTATCGGGCAGGTTTGTTTAGAGATTTACCTAGGGGGAAGCAGGTTTTTGAGACATGGAATGTTGTAAAAGGTCGATAGGTATCAACTAGCTCAGGGAACCTCCCTGCTCAATTTCTAAGTGGACTTCCTTGAAAATATGCTGCTCGAACAAAAAAAGGCGGCCATTTTCCAAAACTACTGTTGAACTATTTTTGAGATCACTTTTTCGAAGAACCTCATTTTACCATGTCTGAGATGTCATATGAAAGAGAATTAAATAGCATATGAGATGATAACGCATTTTATGAACATTTCTTTGATACTTATAATCATATGTGTTCTTTCTTGCATTTGGGTTTCGTTACCTTTGAGTTTTCTAAGGTTACGAAACCGGTATTCGAGATAAAGACCTTATACGCTCCTTACTTAGTGAAATGGCGCAGCGGACAGAATTTAAATAATCATGAGACAAGTTAGTAAACTGTTCAAAACAACAAAAAGGTTATCCTATGAATTGAAACAAGATAATTTGAAAGCTTATATGGATTGCATCATTTTAAACAATGAAGCACCAAATCACGAGGCAATATTTTACTTTTAAAAGGATTTAAGCCCCACTGTCCTACTTGTAGCTACTTGCTTACTCTATATAGAAAACTTCCCCAATCGGTGCCTGTTGGTCCCCCATGATCCTCTTTTTCTTATGTTAGTTGAGAGCTGAGTTAATGAGATAGCCACCTATCAGTGACCTCGCTGTGTGGTCTAATCCCTTCTGGCCCAGTAGTATTGATGGTCTTTAAGACCAATGACCTTACCCAAACTCGCTCCATTAGCCCAAACTTGGTACGATGCGATTTTGACAAATTTTTTTAACGATTCTGGTGCTTAGTCACTGTGAGAGAAATATTATGGATAGGCTATCATTTGAAAGAAAATTACTTACTACTCATCATGAAAAAAAAAATGAAGTCATATTAGTTACGAATTTTTATTAGGAGCTACCAAAGTTGGGTACACTTTTTTATATGCACTGTACACTAAAATGGGAGTTACAGGGTATTTTAGTCCACAATCAGAGAGACGGTTCATGACTTATATGTGATTATGCACCAGGAATTATACGTGATTATGCACCGGTTGCACCCATACTATCAGTGATACCTTAGAGAAGCTGAAGCCCGTTAAATATCAGTTACAAGCTCCATACACTCTTGCAAGCACCAAAGATTCTTAAAACACGTTGTGAAAAATGGAAGAGGTAAATTCATGAGAAAATCTCAAATGAGATCTCCTTCACAACTGCCTCCGACCAGCTGCTAAATGACCAGATACCACAAAAAAGTGGAGGTAAAAGAGACATTGTAGACTATAGGTATCAGCAATGTCTATTTAATTTAGAAGAAAAACATAGGTGTGGAATACAAATTAATTCAGAACCCAGAGCCCCGTCTTATATACAGTTGCGATTTATCCAAATTGAGGAGCCCAATGATGCCTATCCAAACCAATTTTACATTGAAATCAATTCACAACTCTGTATAAACCGTGACGTATGTACGGATTATGGCGCCCAGAGCAATCGATGAGACTGCAACCCCCCCCCCCCCCACACACACACTTTCGAATGTTTCTACGTAACTGTGCAAGCGAGGGAGCAATGCGACCGGCTAAGGAAATTCGCAAGGGAGCGCAGCGATCAAGTAGTAGTATAGAGTACATAGATAGGTCGTTTTCTATTTATTCTTCATTAAGTGTTGAACACAATTAATGAAAATTGTGGAGTAATACAGTTGAGGGATTTAGCAAGGTAACCAAAATCTAAGATGGTTTTAAAAAGTTGAATCGCATTTAAGAAATTAAATTGTATTGATGTCAAATTTGGAACCATTTGAAAATGCTATCCCATCCCTCCCCCCATAAACTATCTATATTTGGGCACAAATTACGAGATCGGGTCCATAATTTATGCGAGTCGCATCCGAGCTTCAGATAATGTTCTATTTCTAATGCATTTATCTTGCATATTGGGGCGCATGTATAAGGATAAATAGTTTTCTTCCTTTTCGCCGCTCACGTATCTCTCTTTTACAGTTTTGCGCTCCTTTTTTGTGCTCTCTAAAAAATCACGTGTCCCAGCCCCCATAGAGATGCCACTGTGTAGATTAAACTATATTAATCACAACTCTTGATAAAGACACTGTACTAAACCCATTCATGTAACTGTATTCTTACTGATGATGTAAATAGTTTTTTTTTCTTCAGAAAGTAGTACTTGTAAATTTTAATTTTGGTCAAAGTGTATATAGGGAAAGTGGGGGAACTCCGAGAGACATAAGCCGGGTAGGGCATTGGTGTGTATGTTCTCTTTTAAATCATCAAATAATTTGCCAAGACTCCTTTCCCTCATTATGATGTCATTCCAAGTTTTCGACGTTATGGTAAAAATGTCATTTCGTTTATAAAATTACCTCAGACCAGATGTATTCAATCAAGCATTTAGCGACATATAGACGTTATTCTGGCAACTTGCTGCCTGGATACGAGGTGACGGTTGTCCAAATGTCGATACGTTCAAAATAATCAGGGGAGCTGAGTATCTAGTTTTTATAGAGTGATACCAGTCTTTCAATTTAATCCAGGTCTTTTATTATTGTACACATGGCTGGTTCAATAATGTATTATACAAAACAAATAATTTACGCCCGTTTTCAAAGTAGGGGAAGGAAAGAGGAAATACATTGACAAACATGTTTCGAAGGCATTTGGACAATTATATTTTAAATGTATTGATAAGATTCCGTGGGAAAAAAGATTAGTTTTGGATTGCAATGAATGTACTATAAACATAATGCTTTGCACGAAGAATATAATGTTCTAGATGAGAGAGAGAGAGAGAGAGAGAGACTGAGGGGATGGGTTAGTCACAGAAGGGGTGTAGGGTGTAAGTTCTGAACTCCACCATTCATTATATTCATGTTTCAGACTAAAAATCATGACTATCACCTGGATCCAGATCTTATCTATGAATCATTCAACCGATAGCCCGCATCATTTTTGAACCCACATCATGCCCTACACAACATATTGCCCCCCCATCACGAAATTTCTCTTGATGTTAGTGAGGGCGCGGGGGGGGGGGTATACACTATGCCCATGTTTCAGAGAGCAAATCATGTCTGTCACTTTTAAAATTTTATTTATTATTTGACCGATAGCCTAATTTGGTTTCAGAGAACACATTTTTCTGTTGCTATGGAAATTATTGTCATATCAACAATATTACTCATCTGCTTAAAGATAGCGTCTACTCGCGATATATTCTATTTGTTCATCTATTTTACAAATGCTAAGGAGCAGACGGCCCTTAGCAACCAACATTTCCATTTTTAGCTCATATCAAAGCGAAAAATTTAGAGCGCTATAACTTTTTTGTTAGTCAGTAGTCATCATAATAATCTAAATATATATGGACAAATAGGTATTTGGGGTATATGTTTGGTAAATTTATAAAAACACTTCTTTTTTTTTGGTCAAAATTATTATGCAAATTATCCCCGAACCTACTTAATATACTTAATATTATATCATCTTGTACGAAACTTATTTTCTTTCATATGACACCTCACACATAGAAAAATGAGTTTCCGTTAAAAAGTAATGTCCAAAATTGTTCTACAGTGCGTCCCAGAAAAAACGAAACCGAGAATTATCGATTTTTTATCATAACTTAGTCACATTTATAATTAATAAATGACACATATTTAGAAAGCTTAGATCCTCATCGTGCATTTGATACAACTCATATGATGCATATTTCACGCATGAGGGATTAAAAATAATAAATTTAAAGAGAGGCAACCAAAAAGTCATTTGGTGGACGGTATCTGAATTTGAAAGAGAAAATCACATTTCTAGAAAGTTGAGTTCCTGCCCTTTCATATGGCACCTCAATCAGGAAAAATGAGTAGGGAATGACAAAGTTCTGTTTGTTTAAAATAGTGCTTGCATTTCCATAATTTTGTCAAACGAATTCATTTTCACTGGTCCCCTGCCGTAGCAACACGCTACCCTAAATAGGTACGAAAATCTCGAAATTCGCGAGACGAGGTAATTTTCACTCTCTCGGGTCGTCACTACAACTTCCGGTATAGAGTCCCATCCCGCTGGCGCTAGCGCCTGTGTTCGCTGTGCAGAGTTTTCACGCACGCTAAAATCAGGGTTCTTACGCTTGGAATCATGAGCCCAGCACTGTGCAGCCTCACAAAAGAAAACCATCGTCACTGATGTCAAAAGACGCAAAAAACAACGAATGAAATGTTCAAATAAACGTTGAAATATTTGCGAAAAAAAAAACAAGACCGAGCAGACGACATAGTCGGTGCATACACGTTGTGTGGCGACGGCGTTTTACGTTTGCGCTATCGCGCCTAGTAATATAGCGCCTGCACAGGAAGCTGTAATGTCGAAAAGCTATCCCATAATGCAATGCGCGTTTTCAGGATTTTCCCCGGATCTCGGCAGAATCGCTATTTGGGGTAGCGAGAATTGACAAAAGACTTAACTCCGTTCCGTTGACAATCAGCCAGGCATAAAGTCTTTCGTCTACAGCTGATTGTCAACGAAACGGAGTTAGGTCTTTCGTTAATTGCACATGTGCCATGCAAGATTCATTCAAATTCATC